ATTTATAAATTTAGAAATAATTAACTTTAAATTCTTCATTTTTGCACATTTTACCCTTAATGAGAAGCTTTTATAACCACACAAATGTCATGGCGCCACAAAGCTTATACCCTTTAAGCTTTTAAGACCACAAGTTTCAAAAGTTTTCTTTTTTCTTAAACTCCGTCTCGAGTCAAACTACCTCATCTAAATTGAAACGGATAGAGTATTACTTTTGATTTAGAGCCCGTTTGGACATAAGAATTTTTTTTCATTTTTTTTTTTAGAAAAAAATTCACTTTTTCCCGAAATCAGTATTGACCATAAAATTTCCAGTTTTCACTTGAAGATGGATTTTGGAATTTTTCGAAAAATTTAAAAACTCCAAAAAGCTGTTTTTAAAATTTTTCACTCTGATCACTCGCAAAACTTCAAAAACAATCCAAAATAATATTCATGTCCAAACACAATTCTAATTTTCAAATACTATTTTCACTTAAAAATTATTTTCACTTCTTTTTGAAATTTTACAATTTTTGTGTCCAAACGCCTAGTCATCTTAATTTTCCAAAATCTTGCAAAAAGTAACTAATTATACTTTAGCATAAAATTTCTTATAATTTTTGTCCATTTAATGCAACAGGGAATATACAAGAAAGGAGGGAGAAAATTTGCCATTCTTAGTTTGGCTCCTTTGGGTTGTACACCAGGTTCTAGGGCTCTTAATTTCCAACAAGGAAATAAAAGTGGTAATTGCCTAGAAGAATTGACAAACCTTGCAAAAATACACAATTCAGCTTTGCCTAAAATGCTAAAGCAATTAGAGGAGAAATTACCTGGATTTAAGTATTCCTTGTTTGATTTCTTCAAAGTTGCTATTGAAAGGATTGACAACCCTTCAAAATATGGTAAGTTCCTATATGCCTGGTATTTGAATTCATCAACATTTCATTCTTATATACTTTGTTATACAAAAAAAAAACGGTAAAGTTGTCTTCGTGTGACCTATAGGTCACGGATTCGAATCGTAAAAGCATTCACTAATGCTTCCATTAGGGTATATCTACACCACACCCCTTGGGTTGCGGCCCTTCCCGAACCCTACATGAACGCGAGATACTTTCTGCACCAGGCTACTCTTTTTTTATAAAATAAAGTATATGCCTGCGATTAGGGAAAAAATAGACACATATGTGAAGGCGTTGTACACATAAAATAATTATTAAAATATTAACTTTTTAATAGTTTAAACTTTTAGATAAGACGGTTTATATAGTTCAATATTACTCCTCCTGTTTCAATACATTTCGCTTACCGAGAGTCAAACTGAGTGATATTTGCTTATGTTGTAAGATTTTGTAACATTTATATATTTGTACTATTTGTGTAGGTTTTAAAACATCTAAAAGTGCTTGTTGTGGGACGGGTCCATTCAGAGGAATTTATAGTTGTGGAGGGAAGAGACAAGTAAAAGAGTACAAGTTGTGCAAAAATGTGAAGGATTATATATTTTTTGACTCTGGTCATCTTACAGAAGTGGCATACAAACAAGTTGCTGAATTACTATGGAATGGAACTAAGGATGTTGTTAACCCTTACAACTTAAAGTCATTTTTCGACCTACCAGCATAGCCTATAATTGGTGGCATTATTATTGAATAAACTACTCCAAATCTCATGAGTCCTTCACACTTGAGAAAACTTGTCATTTTGATGTATTTCGAATTGGAGATTAATTGTTTGGATGCTAATAGTTAATAAATTCCCTTTGATTAGATGAGTTTATCTGTTTTTTTCTTCATTTGATTCCATTTTTCCCTTGTCTGTCAATTTTTCTAATAGATTTAGTAGGCGTTTGGACATAAAAATTATAATTTTTGAAATAAAGTAATTTTTGAAGTTAAGTTGAAAAACGGTATTTGAAATTTGAAATTATGTTTGGACATCCGATTCACTTGACAGAATGTTACAGTTTTGCGAGTGGAGAAAAAGCGTTTTTGAAAAGATTTTTTTTTAAAAAAAAACTTTTTTTTTATGAATAAACGGGTCCTTATTTGTTAAGATATTTTAGATCACAGTCATTTCAGATTTTTTCTTTATGTGTATCAATTAATCCACGGCATTTTTAATAGTGTTGGTTATATCTCTATTAAAGCACAATAGCTCCAAAGTTTTTGTTGTAGCATATGTCGCATAAGCTCAATTGCTCTATCTCCAAGCGATATCATTATGATTAACGGTAAATAGTACAACTTGGTTTTGCAGATGACTTCTTACTATGTTGCAGGGGAGATGTGAGCTCAACTAAACTACTCTATGACTGTTTTACCCGCTTGTCTCAAGCATAAGGCTAACAGTCAACAAACAGAAGAGCTCTATATTCTTTGGTGTTAGCAGTGGAAATCAAAGTAAATTAGCACCGAATCATTCTAGGATTTGACATGAGATTGGGAGAGAAGAGAGAGATATTATTGATATTTTATAATGAATTTTGTTTATCTGCTACAAAATAGAAAAGTCTAGAAACTATATAAAATGGACCCAACTAATTTACAACTGAAAGAGACAAATACAAGACAAAGAAATATTGGGCTTTCAACCCATGTACAAATAAGTATAATGACCCAATTAGTGAAAATGTGCATCAATCTCGACTCTTCTCAATATCTCCAACACCCCCTTCAAGTTGGAGGGTGGGAAGACCTCCAACTTGAGCAAACAATCATGATGAGCAGTACCCAGAAAAGGCTTGGTAAAAAGGTCAGCCAACTGAGTGGAGGAAGAAGTGTGAACCAAATGAATTAAACCCTCAACAAGCTTGGCCCGAACCAGATGACAATCCGATTCAATATGCTTGGTTCTTTCATGGAAAACTAGGTTTCTAGCAATCTGGATTGCATCTTGACTGTCAAAAAATAATGGAACAGAGGAAGAACAAGGAAGTCCCAAGTCAGCAAGCAATCTAGACCACTAGGTCAACTCACCCACAACTTTATTCAATGCTCTATACTCAGCTTCAACAGAGGACATGGAAATCATAGGCTGCTTCTTGGACTTCCAAACCACAAGACTACCACCCAATAAAACACAATAGCCAGAGATAGATTTCCTAGTGTCAGGACAAGCATCCCAATCACTGTTATAGTAGGAAGAAATAGACAAGTCTGGAGAAGCATTGAAGAAGATCCCATGATTAGATGTACCATTCAAGTACCTCAACAGATGCAGGCCAACAAACATGTGTGGGAGGCAGGGAGACTGCATAAATTGACTAAGGTGTTGGACTGCAAAGCTGATGTCAGGCCTTGCGTGAATTAAAAAATTGAGCTTACCAATCAAGGATCTGTACAATTCAGGCGTGGGTCAGGGATCACCCTTCTTAGCCTTAAGCTTCACATTCAGATCAAGAGGACACAAGACAGAAGAAACATCTGAGCAATGAAACTTAGAAAACAGATCAGTAATGAACTATGATGTAAGAGGACCCCAGAAGCAGAATATAGAACCTCAATCCCTAGAAAATATCTAAGAGACCCAGATCCTTTATCTTAAATTGTTGATGAAGGAAGGATTTCAAGGCAGAGATTTCAGTAGAATCAGTCCCAGTCGAAATTATGTCATCCACATACACAGCTAAGGCCACAAAAGAATCCCCATAACCCCTTGTGAAGGGGGAGTAATCATTCAGAGAGGTATAACCTCTAGAAGATAGAGACAATTTGGCATACCGCTGTCTGTATACCTGTCTCTCAAACCATAGAGAGATTTCTGAAGCTTGCAAACCAGCTGCTCAGAACTAGAAGTAGAAGGAACAGAATACACAGGAGGCAACTTCATATAGAACTCTTCATCAAGGTCTCCATGCAAAAAAGCATTGTTGACATCAAGCTGAAACAAGGGCCAATGTTTCTTGAAGGAAACATCAACCAGAGTCTTGACAGTGGACATTTTTACAATAGGGGAAAATGTCTCATGGAAGTCAACTCCTTCCATTTGTGTGTCACCCTTGACCACTAACCTAGCCTTATATCTTTCAATAGCACAATCAGCTCTATATTTAACCTTGTAAACCCATCTACACCTTATAGGCTTCTTTCCCAAAGGCGAATCAATAACAACCCAAGTTCTATTTGCCTCAAGAGCCTCAAATTCCTTTTTCATTGCCTCTTGCCATTCAGGAATGGAGTCATCTTGAGAGAAAGTATAAGGCTCAAAGACAAGAGGCTCACTAGTAGAGACTGTGTTAGAAACAGAAGTGGAGCAGGAAGAAGGAAGTGTGCAAACATAGTCCTTCAAATATCCGGGAGGATTGTAAGGTCTAGAGGATTGCCTCATAGGAACCTAAGGAACAAGAGAAAGAGGAGTGGCAATAGTTATAGTAGGAGAAGTAGGAGTGGAAGTAGAAGAAGGAGAAGAGCCAAGAGAAGGAGAAGAAGAAACAGAAGATGGAGAAGGAGGAGGAGCAAAAGATGGAGAAGGTGGGGCAACAGAATCATCAAGAACAGAAGGAGGGGAGAATAAGAGGCAGGGCTAGAAGAAGAAAGTGCAAAGGGAATGACATACTCATGGAAAACAACATCTTTAGAAACAAAACAAGATTTAGAAGTGACATTATACAATTTGTAGCCTTTCTTAGCAAAAGAATACCCTATAAAGACACATGGCAGAGACCATGGCTCAAACTTGTTTCTATGAAACTTAGGAGCAGTAGCATAATACAAGCAACCAAATGTTCTAAGGTGAGCATATGAGGGAGTCTTACCATACAGTACTTCAAAGGGACTCTTGTTATGCAACAAGGAAGAAGGAAATATATTGATTAGGCAGGTAGCAGTAGGGATGCAATCACCTTAAAAGGAAATAGGTAAAGAAGATTGAAATAGAAATGCCCTTGTAGTTTCAAGGAGATGCCTATGCTTTCTTTCCACAGCACCATTTTGCTGATGTGTGTATGGACAGAAAGTTTGATGAATGATACCTTTTTCTGAAAACAACTTGGATCCAACAAAACTAGAGCCCAGCTTTAGGGCATCATCACTCCTCATAGTTTTGAGCATATCAAAAGCATTGCTCTTAGCTCCTAGAAGATGAGTCCAGGTAGCTCTAGAGTAGTCATCTACAATGGTAAGGAAATATGTTGAACTAGTAGAAGTGGGAGAATGGTAAGGGACCCAGGTATCAATATGAATGAGTTCAAAAGGAGCAGTAGAATGAGTGATACTATCAGGGAAATAAAGTCTGGTCTGTCTAGCTAAGGGACATATAGAACATGGAAAGGATTGTTTGGAAGAAAGAAAAGAACTAAGAATAAAGATATGTTTTCATTCTTGAAAAAGGAACATGTCAAAGTCTAAAGTGCCAAATCACATCCATTTTATTCAAATTTGCATGAGCAAAATTACAATGAGGAACAATGCAAGGGACAACATTAGACTCAGACTTATTAACACTATTAGAAATAGTAACATCAGAAAGAGAACTAGCAGGATAAGAAACTATTAAACTTGAAACACATGAAGAGAAAGAAGCAGGAGGAGGAATCTCTAGTTTGTATAAACCATGGTCCAATCTACCAAGCACCAGAGGCTTCTTCAGTGAAGGGCCTGTAAATAACACAAAGTGCTAAAGAATTGAGCTTTGCCATCAAACTGTGAAACCAAGTGGTAAACAGAGATGAGGTTGTATTAGAAAGTAGGGACATAAATCACATTGTTCAAGGTGAAGTTTGGAAACAAAGTTAAAGATCCACAATTGGTGACTTTAACCTTATAACCATTAGGCAGGGAAACAAGACATGGAATAGAGAGAGGTTGAATATTAAAAAGAAGTGACTTCTGAGAAGTCATATGATCAGAAGCTCCAGAATCTATAATCCAAATAGAACTGTCTACTTGTGAAATAAATAGGGTTTAAGTATACTGTGTGTGGCTTCTCTACCTGCAAAGTGAGTAGAAGCCATGAGGCAATGAGAGGGATCAGGATTGAGACAAAAATATTGGAGAAGCTGCATTAGTTGAACATACTGGTTCTGAGTGATGTCAGGAACCCCAGAAGCTTGATCAGAAGAGGTAGCTTGAGCAAGAGAGCTATTTAACCCAGAAATCACTTACTATGAACCAGAAGAATCAGCTGCAACCTTGCGAGGACCTCCACCGGTGAACTTAAATTTTTGTGAAAAACCATGAAATTTGGAGCACTTCTTAATGTTATGTCCAAGTTTCTTACAATACTTGCAAGTGGCGGAAGTTTTGTGAGAATTAAAGGCTATCTTGGCAGGGTATGACTGCTTAGAAACCCCAGCATGGAGGGAAGCAGAGTCTGATGAGAATTGAGAAGTTGCAGACACTTGTCTTTATTTCTCATCACTTAAGAGGATACTATAAACAATATCCATGGAGGGAAGGGGCTTTGTCATGAGAATATTACTTCAAACTTGGACATAGACTTTATTGAGACCCATAAGAAACTGATATACTCGTTGTTTTGCTTTAGACTTAGCATTCCTACCATAAGTACACCTATTTGGGGAGTTCATAAGTGCACACTGTGAAACATGTGCCAACTCCTCTTTTAATTCAAAGAACCTAGCCTCATCAACTTGCCCATACCTAGATTCTAATTCCCTCCAGATGTCTTTTGCAAATTCAGAATAGACAACAGTTTGGTGAATCTCTTTAGTGACAGAATTAGTAAGCCATGCAACAACCAGATCCTTACATTGCTGCCATTGGCGAAGTAAAGGAGAACCCTCAAGTGGCTTTTCATAAGTGCCATGGATGAAGT